CGGATATAGAAGACGCCTAAGAACCAGACCCAACGCCAGAATTAGGCAGAGCAGTAGCTTCCCAAGAGTGAAATTCACAAGAAATGAAAGAGGCACGAGTGTCCCAAGCTCTAATATCCGTGGACGTAGCATCTTTTGCGAACTACCCGTACGCTCCAAGGACCAGTCCAAAATCCAATGTAACATCCCCACTACTGTGTTGGGTTGCAGTCTGGGGCCCTCTTCCTCATCGTCGTCGTCTTCCTCATCCTCATCCTCCTCCTCATCGTCGTCTTCTTCTTCCTCCTGTACCTCTTCCGTCGCCGTGGCAAACACCGCATCCGTGTCTTCAAAAAAGGCACGCCACTGGCACCACCCTGTCTTTGTACATCGCCATAACGTGACACAAATCCAACCGTACGCCATAACGTTAATCCACAGCCAAACATCAAGGAATGTTGAAGCGCCCTCCTCTGGGCCCTGCAACAAAGCAGTTTCACTGCTATTGCTTGAATATTCGCTGGTTCTCGTTGCGGCATCACCATTGTTAACAAAAAAGCACTTGTGATAAAACGTGACGCCAATAATACACGGTACCACAAAACCATTCAGCGCGATGCCAAGCAGGAGTGCCAGAGCCTTGGCAGACAGGGGCAAAATCAAATCCCAAAAGAAAAAGCACAACTGTTCAAAAAATGTCTGCGGCAAACTTACATCACTGATCGCAAGAATATTATAAGTTGCTCCACAGCTTGGGCAGCTGGCGCGACGCCGCGAAAACACCCAGGCGTCAATGCATTCACGGTGAACCCAGCCAACGGATCCGCGACATTTGCACACACTCGTGATCAAGGGGTTTTGGGTGGTACCTCCCCCAGAACGACATATCCAACACTCCATTTCGCCGTCGTGGTCCGCGTCTGGAGTCTCATGTGCATCCTCATGAAAGATGGACGCCGCGGGTTCGTGTCGTTGTGGCTGCTGCTGCTCCTCCCTCTCCTCTTCGTCCTGTGAGACGCCGGAATGTTCCGTGTTTCGTTCTTCTCCCGTGGATGGCAACATCCGTGTGTTGTCCCCGGCTTCTTTGGATGCCTCCTCTCCCTGGGATGTCGAGCACGACATGAACCCCACACGCACTCAGCGTACGGCGTCGGCCTTCACTCCTCTCCGCCTGACTCCTGACTTCCTTCCGCCTCTTTGTTTTTCCTCCTTTTTTTTTTTCCTTCGTTTCTTTTCGTTTGCTTGTGATGTGCTCCCTACTGCTCCTGCAGCGGCCCTCCCACTCCGAGGAACGACACAAAAAAACAAAGAGAGGGGGAAAAGAAAAAAAAGCGCAACAAAAGAAAAGTAAAACGGCCCCGTCCGCCCCCACGCCGCCCCGCAAGATCCCCCAAACCGGGTGTGGGGGTGTGGAGGGACGAGAGAACGCACGTGGAGCAACAGTCACATGAAACAAATTGTAGGAAAAGACGGGAAAAAAGATCAACTATTAATTGAAGCCTGAAAAGCAAGAATCGGAGGCAAAAAAAAGCAAGATCGCGCGGTTGGGGAGATAAAAGGAAACAAAACTGATACTTCTTGCTTTTATATTTCTTTCATTTAAAAAAAGAAGGCATTTCGCCACACACACACAAAAAACAAACAAACAAACAAACACACACACACACACACACACAGACTCAAAAACAAAAGCAAAAATTATTTCTACTTTTTTTTTTTCCCTCTTTTAATGGGGGATTAAAATCAGGTGCGAGTAAACGCGGTGCCATTAAACTTACATTAATACACGCGGCTTCTCGCAATTTAAAGAATTTCAGGGGTCTTGAAAAGAACACACAACTGCGGTGGACTCAGCTTCTCTTTTTTCAAGGTTCTTCACATAAGCCTCGTACACAAGACGCTGAGGGCAGCTGTTGCGCACCTCCTTGACAAAACGACTATCCGCAACGTACAGAATACGATCCGCATAGCACTCAACATCGGGGTTGTGTGTCACCATAATACACGTCGTCTTTGTAATGCGGTTGAGGTGCACAAGAAGATCCATCACCTGGATTGTGTTCAGTGTGTCCAAGTCTCCGGTAGGCTCGTCCAGGAGCAGCAGCTGCGGGTTGTTGGCCAGGCTGCGCGCGATGGTGACCCGCTGCTGCTCACCACCACTGAGTTCCGACGGCAGGTGGTACAGGCGGTTACGCAACCCGACAAGAGCCAGCAATCGAAACGCGCGAATTCGCCTCTTCTTCGCGGACAAAGCACCCAGCAATGTCATGGGCAGTTCCACGTTTTCCAACGCTGTCATTGTTGAGATCAAGTTAAAAGTCTGAAAGACAAATCCAATTTTACGCAGCCGAAAGTCCGCCAATAAACTGTCGGGTGTGCTGCCGTTTATCACCGTCCCCATAAGCTCGATGGTGCCGCTTGTCGGCAGATCGATGGTACCGATGATGCTCAGCAACGTCGTCTTACCTCCGCCACTGGGTCCACGAATCATAACAAACTCACCGCGGCGAATAGGACCAAACCCGTCCCGACCGCAGTCCTCGCACAAATTCAAATTCCTCAGCGCCACCACGCGTTCTTCTGTGCCCTCGATGGGATAACTCTTCTCAATTCCGCGCAGACGCAGCACAACTTCGTTCCCGTCTTCCTCAGAGGCTGCGTCACTCACCTCCGGCACAAGAATATTCGGTTGATTGCGCTCCTCTTGATTCCCACCGTCCCCATCCATCTCGTTGAAGGGGTTAGAGCGCCACTCACCGCAGTCACCCATCTGCCGCGCCACAAAAAAAAAGAAAAAAAAAAAAAACAACAACAACAAAAAAAGGGGAAACGGAGAAAAAGTCACCCTACCAGTCCGTCTCTCGCTACCTGAAAGCTGCCAACAATGGCACCTTCGCAAGAAGTATGATTAGCCAGGCACAAAGAAAAAAAAAATAGTGGGAAAAAAAAGAGGGCAAAGTAAAAATACCAAAATACATCCCGTAACTCCCAGAGGACTGAGAAACTCAAAAGCCCTGGATTCAAAAAAAAAAAAAAAAGTAAGCGAGTTGGAAAGAAACTAGGCATAAATGCATAAATGCACCAATACACATAGATAAATAACTGGGAAAGCAAGGAAAACTTAAAAGCGTCAAAAACGCTGCAATGACTGGCTCGGAGAAAAGATCATGCCAAAGAGTAACTCCTTTCAGATGCTTCGTCCTGTTCATGAACCCTCTTTGGACTCACCACCTCCACACCGGCCTCAACACTTACCATGAATCGCAAGCATGCATGCCGTCCCTCAAGCAGCACCCGTTGACGTCTCCCCCACCTCATGCGTCTCAGAAAATACTGAAATGGACGAGAACAGCCCATCGCCAGATTCTATTCTGGCATCGTCCTCAGCTCCAATACAAACACTGGATGACGTCAGCACCATCACCTCTTCCGTGGGAATCGTTGCCAAGGCAAGGCCTTGACGGGGCCGCCAGGTGAAGAATAGCGGAACCCAAAAAAACCCAGAAGCAAAAAAAACAAAAAGCAACAGTGGCGCAACAAAAGCCGAGACTCCAGTGCGACCTTCAGAAGCATCATTTGTTCTGTTTAAAAAATCTCCAAAAACTGAAAGAGGGACTTCAGAAGAAAGATCACTACTGCAGGAAATCAATAAAAGCCGATCATCCGTGTCAAGAGTCTCGTATATATCCTGTGGCTCACTCTTTGCGAGATATGCCGCTGCACGGTAGCTTGCATTACCATTTGCAGCTGACAGCAGTGATGCATTGTTGAGAAGTGTGAAGGAGATGTTCAACTCACCTTTTGGGGCACTCAATCTGTAACTCAGACTTATTCGAGCATATCTACAATTGCTTGTCCATCCAATTTTTTTTTCCTTTTTTATACTAATAGCTCCACTGGGAGTGCTGCGTATCGCTGCCGCCCTCAGTGCCATTTCTCCTTGCTGCTTTGTGAATATACTGCTCTCAAGTGCTAAATATACATCGGTTCTTACCCAGTTGGGCGACTGATGCTTAAGGTTCAGTTGTAACTCCTCATTGACAAGAGGGGTGAAGTAAGTGGCACCTCGTTTGTCCTCCTCCTGCAGCTCAATGACTTTGTTATCACTACCCACCTCCACCCCGCAGTCCCATCCTGCCCGCCCCTCATTACAGACGCAAAAGCCTCCGCCCCACACGTCACAAAGGGCATTTTTGACACATGGAACAGTGCAGTTTGAGTTATTTGGCCCCTCGAAACTGTAATGCATTAAAAATCCCTTACGAACATGAGACCATCGGGAAGAAAACACAATAGCAAGAGCATTCGATGAAGAAAGGAAGAGCAGACCTTGAGCGCTCGTGCCGGTGTCTACACGTATCGGTTCCGCTTCATCCGATGCATCATCATAGAGTACAACGATATCCGTCGGGCTCTCCACTTCAAAGCGGAGGTATTGCAATCGAATTATACGACCTCTTGGCGCTTTAACCACCCATCGACAAACTAACATGGGAGAATAGGTGCCATAACCATTCACCTCAATGTATCCACCGGCAGTGTCATTGACCTCAAAAGGCCACCCATCCTCCCTGCACCAGTAACTTCGCACATTGCATTTTTCTCCAGCAAAGTCTTCGCAGCAATACTCGCAATTTGGACCAGAAAAGCAACCAGACCCACCCCATGTTTTGTCTTTTTGGCAGATGCATTCTCCGGTCTCCATGTTACACTTACCCCTCTCGCTACAAGTACAATTGGAAGAACACGATGGCCCGTACCATCCTGGTTTGCATGATGAACAATGTTCATCAGCAAAGTGTTCATTGTCACATTTACATTGCAAATCCTTTGCTGCGCATGTCCCATGTCCATTACACATGGCTTCCTCATCACAAAAAGAACAGTCGATAAACCGATACCCAGTGTGACACTCACAGATACCTCCAAAGCAATTTCCATTCCCACTGCAATTGTTGGGACACACTACACCGGACATTATACTGGCATTATCGACATAACTCAAACCAGGTCCAGATACAACAAGAGCGTATGGCTGATTATTTCCTTCATGAACACTACCGCCATACACAAACACACGGAACCCTGCTGCTAACTCCCAGGAGATTGGTAAACAAATTTGTTCCATGACATTCGTGGTGTCCAGGGTTTTGTTTTCACCGGCAAAGTACACAGCACCCTTGGAATCCACCAATAGCACGTCAAGATTATTGACCAAAGATATGGCAGAGCCCTCCATCGCGGATCCGATGTCTGTCCATACAAGTGAAACACGTATTTCATTCACGTCAAGTAAATTGGGCCCCAAAGTGAAATGGTGCACTTTGCTGGCGTGGTGACCAATCGAGTCTCTGTCTCGAAACCATCCTATTATGCCAGTTGGGGTAAAAAAAAGAGACATGTCAAGACGACCAAAGCCACTCAGCCTTGAGTTATTTAAATTCACAGTACAGTGAATCAACAATGCCTTGAGTAATGCAGAAGAAGGAGACGAAATGTTTTCCAGCGTTCGGAGATGCTGACGCATCAAGGCCACCGAGCCCGCTAAGGCTGCAGTTGCCATAGAAGTCCCTCGCATGCTAACGACCGCACACTGGTTTGTGGAAATGTTACCATCTGAGAATGCAGAGGTGATTGTGTCTCCCGGTGCCACAAGTTCCGGTTTGACACGATGATCATACGTCGGTCCAGGAGAAGAAAATTTCGCAATGGTGTTTTGGGTATTTGGGTCAAAAGTATTTTTGTGTGCCCCAATACAAATCATGTTCTTGGTTCGACAGGGTGTTAACAAACCAGAGTTGGGACTGTTCCCTGCCGCAAAAACAATTAGAGCATCGTCCATTTGATTTGCAAGGGCATCCATGCTCTTTTCCACCGCTGTGTACTCGTCCGGGGCAAAAAAACCCCATGAGTTTGAGAAGATATGCGCCCCCTCTTTATAAGCAGGACGGAACACCTCAGTGATGTCAATAGGAAGCGTCAGCAACGGCTGGCTGGGAACACCGAGGCTTGTAAAGAAGATCTTCGCTCCTTTGGCGACACCGTTGTATTTGGAGTTCTCATCGTCGTCAAGAACATGTCCCGCCAACGTTCCTGCCACGTGCGTACCATGTCCTCGTTTCTTGTCGCCAATCAACCTTTCTCCGGGAAATAAATCGCATGGGACAAATGATATCACCTTACGGTGGCGGTGGTTTACCTCTGGGTAGATCGCCACGGACTCCTTGGGGTCGCTGAAGAAACAACTGTCGAAGTCCACACCGCTATCCGCCAATCCGACCAGTTCCCCACTGCCATCGATCCCCGCGTCCCAGAATGGACGAAACGGTTCTCTTTCATCCTGGTTCCCATTCTGCACAAGGGCGGTCGCATAGAAGTTCAAGGGGGCAACATGTTCAATAGCCACTTCCATCCATCGCACCGCTGGATGACTCACTACCGTATTGATAAAGGCGGAGCAGTGACACACGACATCCATCTCCTTTTCCTCCTCCTTTTTCCCCCCAGAAGAGAGTGTCAACACCCATCGTACAAGTCCTTTTCCAGCAATCGAACTAATAATGTTCCATTGGCATTTCGCCGAAACATTTCTTGTCTTGCTCGACACACTTTGAAGTGACCGCTCCACAACGTTCTCTCTCCCCAAGGCAGTGCGAACATCCAGCGGCAGACGCCATCTTAGATCCATTTCCTCCATTGGCTTATTATCAACAGCACTTTTATCATGCCGAGCACCGCAGCGGTGCATGGAAAAGCGAATTGCACGAGAGAGCTTAAGGCGCGCTCCAGTGGGTGTGGAGTAGACGTCCAACACCGTCAATGATGTGAGAGGCGATACCCCGCGATCCTCTGCCTCCAAAGCCGCTCGAATTTGAGCGGCGCGCTCGGAGTCAACATAAACAAGCATGTGTAATTCGTCAATGATGTGGGTATCCTCCAGTCTGTGCCTCATCAAGGAAGATCGGACATTCCGCCGCTCCTTCCAACGGAGCTTGTCAAGCTTCACTACAACGTAGCGACCGTCATCCGAGTCTAATAGCGACGCATCTTCCCCTGAAAGTCCCGCCGTGCGGGCAGTGAGAAATGGCCGCCTCGTCCGACACGAATCACAGGCAGAGGCCACGTGAGACGTTGAGTTTTCTCCGGTGTGGGGGTATTGGTGGTGATGCTTCTGCACAAACCAATGAAGCGGGGTCTCGTGAATTTTCAACCAATCGGCGTGAAGCCACTTCTGCAGTGGACTTCGCCTCATTGCGAGGGGCCGCTTTGACGCGGCAGCAGCAGCAGCAGCAGCGGCGTCCCCTGCAGAAGCGGCGCAAGTTCCCACACCACTCAACAAAAAGTGCATCAAAGTCAGTGAGAACAGTGTCATTAAAAAGAACGGTGGCGTCCCCGAGAGCATTGCGCTTGCCGCGTGTTCGCACCGCCGTCGACGACGAAAAAAAAAAAAAAAGGGTGATGCTCCTCCTTCTTTTATCTTCCTCCCTCTGCCACTCCCTCGCGATGGTGGAGACGGAAGCTAAAATAATTTGGCCCGAGCAAAGGGGCAGTGAGACGGCAATCGCAAACCGCAATTGTTTTCCAAAAAACAAAAAAACAAACAAAAACTTACACAAAGTACCCCTCCTTCACAAACAAACAAAAAAGATAGCAACAGAAATAAGGAAAAAAAGAAAAAAAAAGAATTTAAGAAAAACAAAACTGAAAAGTCAAATGGAAATGAGTCCTAAAACCACCTTCAAGAGACCACCATTCCACGTAAGTGCACTTCACCCTCTCCGCCATACACGCATACATATACAGGCACAAAACTGCCCTCAGCGACTTTAGAAGTCAGCCCATGGCATTGTTAGGTTGAAAAGTGACAAGAAGTATTACACGTCCTCCGTGCAGAGAAGTAGAGATAGATACATACATGTGTAGAAACAGATGTATATGACAAAGGAGGATAAATTAATAATAATAATAAAAGATTAAATTCACCGCGATGAAGATAAAAAAGAAATCGTTTTTTCTTTTTGTTTTTCAAGGCCTTGATTTAATTAATTTCGTCTTTGCTTCGTCTTTTTATGATTGTCTGCATTTTTCTTTTTCTTCTTCGATTCTGCCATCCTCCAAATTACATTCCCGTGCGAAAACGCAAAGACCGGTGATGGTTCCAGCCGCTCCAAAAAGGCTTCGCATCCCCCTCCTGCCGGCATTTCTATCCGTCCGCACTGTTATTCACATTTACGTACGCATGTTACTTTTTCTCCCCTTTTTTTGTTTCCTCGCACTCTTTTGACTTCCAGTTCCTCTTCGCTTGATCGGTCACCGGCGTGTCGCCAGAGTCCTCCTGCAGCAGTTCCTTTACGAGCTGCTCTATCTGATCTTCACTGAAGCCCTCGACACGCCCCACGATGCGACCATCGCGGTACGTCACAAACGTTGGGACGCTGCGGATGTCATGCAGAGCCCCCAACTTGGGGTTCTCGTCGGTATTGACGGGAATGATGCGCACAGTCCTGCCGTTCGCCCGCGCCCGCACGCAAAATTCACGCACACTCTTCAGCAGCACCTCTGGGTCCACCCGTGACTTGGGGTCAGCCAAGGCACCGGGTTGTAAAGTCCCTTCTGCTGCCGGATCCTTTGAGGGCGATGCTGCTGCTGCTGACGGTGATGATAACGATGATGATGCAAGGCTAGTTGACGATGTGGCCTCGGAACCTCCTCGCACCGCGGGGCGCCCTTTATTTAGAAACTCTTCCAGTTTGACATAGACGCGATTGCGCGGTTCACGCCACGGCGCATAAAAGTACACCAATGCCACCTTCTCCCTGTTGACCTCGTCCAAGAATTCCCTTGAATGGCCCCTGAAGGTGGCAATGTGTCGACGCGTTGCGCACGTCCATGATGACAACGATGCCGCTGGGGCCGTACTAAAAACGGTTGTGACAGAAGTACCGGTGCGACGCCGTACCAGGCAGTGTTGTAGAAATCCAACTGCAACCTTCATATTGCCCACAGACCAAAAAAAAAACCCTTTTTTTCTTCCTCTATCCACCGACAGCAGGCGTGTAAAAGTAGCAAAGCACACAAAAAGTGGTGAAGTGAAGATAACGACAAGAAAGCACACACCAACATGAATAAATATTTATTTATATATTTATTTGTTTATACATATATGAAAAGTAATAAAAGCACATAAAGAAGCTTAACAAAGAGATGCAATATATGCCCTTGGGGCATCCAGAGAGGAAAGAAGGCCGTGTTCACTTTGCGGTGCGTGGCCGTATGTGTGAAGAAACAGCACCAACATGATGTGTGGATCCACTGTCATGCCGGTGTGTCATACGGCGCCCCCAAAAATATTTGTACAACCTCCTTCCACTCCAACTTTTCTGGCGGTGTGAGTCCACAGTCCGAGTACAATAGCTGCTGCCATACTGACGTTACGTTCTCCTTCAGCTCCTCAGTTTCCTCGACGACCTCCGCCCCCGCCCCTGCAAACTCCGCCAGTCTTCCAAGATTCACAGTCAAAACAAGCAGCATTAACATCGCGCGGCGGTGCCGCACTGCTCTTTCACCCGCTGCACCATCTCCATCCCCCGACACAAGTTCCCACACCAACGCCAGACGATCGTCAAAAAGTGACTCAATGGGTGAGAAGTCGGCGTAGTCATCCGTGTCCACATAAGGAATATTCTCGCGTGCCTCGTCGTAGTCCTCGGGAGGCCGCAGACTGGCGCGAAACTCATTCAAAGCCGCCGTCATCGCGGCCGTGATGCCCGTAATCTCCTCATCCTTCTCCACCTCGGCCATCATCCGGCGCCAGCGAAGAGAGTTGGCCAGACGCGTGCGCTCCTCCTCTGCAAATTTCAGTTCTGCCTGAAGAGCCGCAATATTTGCCTGCAACTGCGTGATCTTCCGTGTTTCATTCAGCAGCCGCGCCTCCTCGGAATGGATTGCCTCCTCCGTGATGTCCTCCTCCGTCAACCCCGCCATGTGCAAGAAGACAGAATCACACAGGAAGAGAGAGGAACTAACTATGAAAGACCCCTCGGAAGCATGTGAAACAAGAAGTGAGGCGCAAAGAAAAAACTCAGAGGACCTTTCCATCCCAAACACGCTGCTTCCACCCCCTCCCAAATAATAATAATAATAAATGATAACAAATGATATGTCACACGGAGCAATATATAATGTCAGGCATCTACCGGATGGACAGTACATGGCAGCTTTAGAGGAAGCAAGGGCTTCCCCACCCACCTACGGGCAATTCAAGAGTCACACAAATAGGAAAAAGGAAAAGACAAACAAACAAACCCAGATTCAAAACAAGAGCAACAAAAACAGCAAATACAAAAAAAAAAAAAACACTTCTGAGGCAAACCAACCTCAAAATAAGCTGCAAATGGAAAGAGCAATGAGCAACATAAAAAAAAAAAAAAAAAAAAAAAGGAAACAAGACACATATCTGTTTATAAATGAAACTTTATAAAAATATGGGAATAAATACATAGTTGGTTCTTCACCAATGTGTAGCTGCAAATATAAAGATGGAGGAGATGTAAAAGGCATAAAACTTGTATTTGCTCTTGCTTTTTAACACACACACACAAAAAAAAGAAAAGATAAATTCACTTGAGGAGGAAACGCACAAAAATATTTCGACCCAATTCCTTCTTTTTCTTCTCCTATCCTCTCTTCAAAATGATTCCTCGTTTCTTGTGACCGTTGCTGCGTTTGGTTGGTATTTAGATTAGAATAATCTTCCGGGCCGCTGGCCGGATCCAGAAATTGTTTATAAAAACCAAGCAAGTTAGGAAAAAAGGTTCGTTAGTTAATTGCTTCAATGTTTTCTTTTCATTCAATATATAGAATTCTCTTGACCACCAGCATGGTCCTTTGTCCTCAGTTAGGATTTGAAATATTATTACTTACGAAGCGGCAGACTTTGGGGTCCTCCAACCACAAGACCCCGCCGCGTGGTGGGAATCAAAAGGGGGTGGGTGGGATGGCAAAATAAAAAACAAATATTATCTGGCCTCTATCTGCTCCCTGCCCCTAAAAAGTCGCGTTCTTCCCAAAAGATTCATACGGTAGAAAAGTATCATAACGAATGCATTCATTTATCAGGATATACACATACATTAATTAAGTTAGCCAGCTCTCCCGCGATCATTCTCTTCACAATCCCCTATTATTATTATTATTATTATTTCCCTTTCTTGTGCCGCCAATGTCTGTGCTAACTCGGTACACAAATTCCTTTGAACTCCTCCTTGGATTCCTTCAATTACCGCAGAATGACGCTCAGCTTGTCGACAATGTTTCTTCTCTCCAGCTGAAGAGACTCCAATTGGTCGAGCCTGCTTGCCTTCGTCAACTTCAGCCCCTCATTTCCTGCCGTTACCGGAAGGCCCGCCATGAAACTTTCCTGCCAAATCTGTTCGTTGATCCTCCGAAGGGCCTCCGTTAGGGAATGAATCTCGCCCTCGCGGGCTTCACGCCTGACGACGGTACTCTGCACCAGCCCCTTGTCTCCCCCAGCGACAGGGTAAGAGGTATTGAGCTGTGCCCCCTTCCACTCCTCAGAGCTCTCGGTGCAACTTGGCAGCCCCTTGATACCGTCATGAAACCGTGAGAAAGGAGTTAGATGACTACTGCCGCCGGCTTCAATCCCATTCCCCGCCACCCCAGTCACAGTTCTACGTCGCACTATAGTCATGGCGCTGAGAGGCTTTACGGGGGATTCAGAAATGCGGAGGACCGATTTAAACGAGAATGAAGGCGATGCCACCGCGGCGCTTCGCGGACTCACCGGCTTCGGCGTAGTCATTATGGAGATACTTGAGCTTTTCACTTTTGGCATCGCGACGGTACTCCTCGTGGTGCCGGATGAACTCATCTGCCTCGCCAGACTTCGCTGAAACGAGTTGCTGGGGGATCGATTGGGAAGCGAGCGACGAATAGACACAACCTGTTTCTTGTGTAATTGCTGCTGCTGCTGCTGCTCCTCCTCTGATAACTCTATGGGAAATCCTTTCTGGGAAGGAGGCGCATCGGTGCTCTGAGGCGACACGGCTTTAAGCACTCCGTCTACGTAGGAACGTGTCGATCGATCACCCGTGGACGTTGTATAGATACCATCACCGTGCAGGACGTTTCGCTTCCATGTACACTCAAGAACATCACCCTCAATAAAAGTATAAACTCCACGTCCATGGCGCATCGGCAGCGGATTTCCACTGTCGGCAACTTCACCCTCGTACTTACCTCCATTGTAAAACAGGGTGCCTGAGCCACTGACCACACCATGTTTGAACTCACCCTGAAACCCATCCTGCGTCGGGAGTGTGATTTTCACATTTCCATGCGGTTTTCCATTGGCAAAGCCTCCTATTATTACTGTACCGTCTTCTAACGTCATTGTACCATTTCCAGTGAGCTCATCCATAACAAACTCACCCTCATATTTAAAACCCTCCTTTAACATGGAAATTGTTCCCTTGCCATGACGCTTGCCCTCCTTCAGCTCTCCGCTGTAGTGGTACTTCTTCACGACAGAATCCACTCCGTTTCCCTCCTTAATTCCACTTTTCCACCCACCAGTGTACGTGGAGCCGTCATGCAGTATCAATTTGCCTTCTCCATCCAAATATCCTTCCTTCCATGAGCCCTCGTACGTGTCCTCTTTTTTTTCTTCAGTGCCCCTCCAAGTAATCTTGCCGTAGCCTTCAGGAAGTCCACAGATAAATGAGCCCTCATAGTGCACCTTTGGTGTTATAAAGACCCCTGAACCCTGTGGTATCCCGCTCTTCACAGCACCTCGATAACTCTGTTCATTCACCCACTGCCAATCTCCATCTCCGTTCGGCAATCCATTGAGCCACATCCCTTTATATTGACCAGAAACATCAAGTTGCGGAATGAAACACCGAACCTCTGCTGAGATGGGCGGTGATGGTGCGGTTCGTGGATCTGCCGTCAGCAGAGTGAGCGTTCCAGTACCGGATCCCTTGGGCACTCCTCCCATAAAATCCCCTTCGTAACGAAGCATGAACTCGCCAACGCCAGGAATTTTTATTCGCTTTTTTTCTAAAATGCCTATTCCATTGGGCTTCCCAGCAACCATCGCACCTTTGTAGGAGCTTCCGTCGCGGTATTTTGCAACCACTTCATTCCCCACCATTTCGCCGCTTACGCATGGACCCTCATAAAAGATGAGGTCTGTTGCCACTGCGCCAGCCGCATCACCTCTGAAAATAAGATGACCCTCAAGCAGGTCATCCCGCCATTCTCCATTGTATTCACCATATTTATTCTGCAAAACCCCTTTTCCCCATCGACGGTCAAGTTGAAAGCCACCCTTGTATGTATCACCATTCAATTTACGGTGCAAACCTTCACCATGACGAGAAAACCCGACACATTCACCCACATAGCTGCTACCGTCTGAGTAAAGAAATTCTCCCATTCCGCTTGGTGCATCATTCTCAAACTTACCCTTGTATGCGACAATATGAGGTTCGCCCATCCGTGGTGTGTACCCAGGCGTGCTAGACGCTCGTCCCAATACCAATTCCCCACGGCCATTTCGCTTATCATGAAGCCACAATCCCTTATAAATGTTGTCATTCACATATCGACATCTTCCATCCGCACCACTTCGCTCCCCCTCCACAAAAGGGCCAACATACTCCACAAAATCATCGACGCCCTCTGCCCCATAGAGTGTCCCGTTACCGTGCATCTTGTCTCCCAGCCAATCCCCCTCATATTTTCTACCGTTCGAAAATGTACAAACTCCATTTCCGCTTCGCTCCCCATTCACAAAGTCACCTTCATATATATAACCCATCGCACCGGGAACGATGTACTTGCCCTTTCCATGCGGTTTACCCAGTAACTGCGCTCCCACATACTTGGCCCCGCCCGTAGTCTCAAAAAATCCACACTTCCCATCGTTGATGTTTCCCTCAATGGTCTCCCCGTCGTATTGGTCGCCGTTAGGAAAGCCCCGCCCAAAATTGTGCCGTGCGCCTGGCATCAGGAAAAGAAAAGGAAAAAAGGTCACGGAAATGCTTCACCACGCAGGTCTGAAAACGACAATGCAGAATATGCGCCTTGCGATTGCCGTGTATTCACTACCCGCACCCATCAATGAATAGATCAAAAAAAAAAAAAAAAAAAAAAAAAGAGGTAAAAGTAAACAGAAGCACACACACATTACAAAATAATAATAATAATAATAACATCAGTTATCACAAAAACGTAATTCCAGCAGAATCACCAACGAAGACGTGTCTCAGCGTGCGGAATCATCCGTGAATTCAAAAAAGGAGTATCCCACTAAATTCCAAAAACCAATAAGGCTCATCACAAACCTACAAACACGCATCTGAGCCCAAAACAATAAAGATAAAAACACACAGATAAATCAAAAATAACATAATCTGCAAAGAAAGCAAAAACAAAAAAAATATCCAAATATATATATATATATATATTTATCATAGGCTTTCAGTGACGATTAGGTCCCATGCCCGTTGTAACAAAAGAGGAGGGACAGAGAATTGTAGTGCAAAACGCAAGGCGTGAGAAGTCATCCCCTTCTGTTGGATGGTGTCCATGCTGCTCAGAGCTTGAACGGGGGCCACACGGTACGAGTGAACAAGTTGGCTACCACCGATAAATCCCTCACGTACATCTTCGCCCCCTTCTCCCCCTGTACGAGCAGTCGGTACAAGCGTTGTCTGCATCTCAAGCACCATGATTTCTTCCCGAGGTATGAGCTGTGGCTGAAGGACCTCCACATAGTGTGTTGCCAGAAGCACAATAGGACGTCGATCACCAAAGGAAATAAAGGACCGTATGGAAACCGCTAGCAACGCAGCACCATCCAGGGAAAGTGTTCCCTTTCCAAACTCATCCAACACCAGCAATGAACGTCCAGATCCGGCACCTCCTTCCTTGTTACGAGTGCTGCACCTCTGTAACATGCGACTCATTGACACCAACTCATTCCCAAAACTTGAATGTAACTCCTTCGTGGTGGAGGCCAGGGTTCTGTCACGGGAACTGTACGAAACAGCATGGAGAGACATCAAAGTGTCAAAGAGACCAATTGTGGCATGGGTACAGGGGACATAACACCCAATATGTGCCAGGAAAACAGCGTGTGCGACGGCCGTAATAAGGATCGACTTTCCGCTCCCATTCGCCCCTGTCAACAAACAAACTCGTTGATTGCTAGTTCGAATATTTATTGAGTACGGCACTACCTGGTGCGCCGCTGTGCGTGCAAAAATAGGGTGGAACCCACGTTCAATAACAAGCACACCAGGCTCCTTTACGATTTCGGGACGGCTCCATTGACCCTCCAGTGCAGCAAGGGCAAAACCCATGAGACAATCAAGTTCCGCGCAAAGATGTAGGGGAATTAGTGCCGGCGAAAGTACGATCAAACGTTTATCCAACTCACGTTGAATCTCTCCCTCCCTCACCAAAATGGCTGAGCGCAAATCTCCAATTTCCTCATCCATTCGACGGGTCAAAGGTGTTTTAAAGAAAGGACCCTCCTCAGTTTGAAAAAGCAACTCCCAACCGGGAATATCTTCCCGTCCTACTGGTAACGAGAAACGAGGAAGAGTTATGACATACCCCCAACACGGAGCGAATACGCACACCACACTACAGAGACCCCAAAGTGGGGGCAGGCAACGGGCCTCTTGCTGTGCAACATTCGCCAAAACCTCATCGAGATGAGTGAAGTGTGCACAAAGTTCGTCCAATTTAGCGTCAAACCCTGGACGGATATGCACATAAGTTTTGCTCAACGCTGCCCCGGGATCTCGCGAAAAAGAAACACCCTCATCGATGAGGCGGCTTATTTCCTCCAATTGATTGGTTTGGCAACTTGCCACAATACGCAGAAACATCGGTGAAAAGTGTGCTCGCGGTGTGAGAAGCGAAGCAATACGCAAAAATCCCCTCACAGTCCGTAAGAGAGATTCGTATTCGTTTGTTGTGTGCTTTGCCGCTCGAATCTTTGTGAAGATACTATTCGTGATCCGCAAGTGACGCAGTGCTCGACGAAGCTGCATCATGAGATCATAATTCTCCTGCATTGTGAAAAATGAGACAACGTCGTAGCGCCGCCGCAATTCTGATTCGTCTCGCACCGGCAGCAAAAACCACTGCCGGAGAAGCGCCCGTCCAAGCACGCTGCACGTACGATCCACAACACTTAGTAGTGAGAGACCCTCCTTCGCACGCCCAATTCCCTGGTAATCCATCGGATGTGGTTCCGTGCGAAGAAGCTGAAGCCCAGACAGCGTTTCTTGCTCAATATACAACAGGCCCAAGGGAGGCACCTCAGCAACGTCAGCGATGGGCAATTCAGACCTTTGCAGGTACGGTAACAGCGCTGAAAGCGCCATTAACATCACATGATGATGTGGACAGATGCGGGAGTGCCATTCCAATCTTGTGACGTTAGCCCACAAAACACCAAGAAGATCCCAAATGCGGCCTTCATCAAACTCGCGGGGGGCTGTGAGAACGACATTCACACCACACAAGTTGGCGACGTCAATCAAAATCTGTGAACCACCGGAGGGTATCAACACCACCTTCGGCTTCTTGGACAAGAGAAACTGCGCCACCCATACAATATCCCCCGGCACATCCATCAGAGTCCCAATAAACATCTCCTCGCCACGGTTCAACGCCGCCGCAGATTCAGAACAGCTCACCTGACACGTGGCGCTGTCGTACGACGCAAGGCCAACTTCATGGTGGAACACCAACAAGCTAACAACCTCATAAGTGGCAATTTCCTCCTCCGTGTCACATATACCAGACATCGTCCAGAATACCTAAGGACCAACAGTCACACAAAAAAAATCCAAATATATATATAACAAAAACAACAAGACAGAATCAGCCACGCATACGTGCCCGAACATCCACGCGTCAGACGTAGCTCGTTTTACCAAATCAGCTCTTTAACGTAAATACATCAACATAAATAAAATAAAAAAGAATAAAAAAATGAGGTACAGCTTTCACATCATACCAAATTAACAGGAAAATCTACATCCAAACTTCAACAAAAAAAAAAAGAAAAAAAATTGAAGCCCAACATTCATTAATGATACTAACTACACTTAAACCTAGAAGCTTATAATACCAAAGTCACATCCACAATAAAAATTATTTACTAGCTCACTCGAGGCGGGCGGGGGCGGTGTTGTTCCCAATGCGTGGCTGCTCCCCGCTGCCACCCCCACCGGTGCGTAACAGCCGCGCCCTCTTGATCTCCTCGCGCTCCGCGGCAATCTTCACCTCCTCCTGCTTCGACAGGTGCGAGCGGTACTCCACCATCTTGCTGCGTCGCGTCAACACCTCTTCGTTGTTCTCGTCGACGGGGTGGTTGAACTCGATGCCGGCGGCGTCCAGCGCCTCCTCCGACTCCTTGAAATCCTCCAGTGCCTTTGCCTGCTTCTCCTTCAGCATCGCCAGCTCCTCCTCCACGCCCTGACGCAGCTTGTACAGCTCCTTCTTCATGTCGGCATGCCTTTTCGCGTTCGGGTCAAATGTCTCCACACAGAACTCAAGCTGGATGTGCGTTGTGCGGATATTGCGGTCAATTTCCTCCATTCGTTTTTCCTTTTTGTAAATGAGAGATCCCAGTGTGAGGTACAGCATGCGGAAGTACTCCAGGTGCTCCTTGTGCACTTCCAGTCGCAGCGCGGCCAGGTCTTGGCTTGTCTTGTCGTGACGGGCCTTCACTGCGGCACAGCCCTCCGACACCAATTCCTCCACCAATCCAGTGCACCGTATCGCCAGATCGCAATTGTACACCGTGAGCTCCAGAAGCTTCTTGTGCTGTGACGCGACCTCAAGGAACTGCGAGTACTCCACGCGCCGCTTCTCCTCGCGGTCAACCTCCTCGATGCGACGCTTCACCTCCTCAAAGCGCTCCGTACCCAGCTTCTGCAGCTGTCGCTCCAGGTCCTGAATCTTGTTCCATGCCTCTTCCTGCCTCTCCTCGTTCTCGCGAACAAAGCCGTCGCTTTTCTCCCTGTTCGCAGCGTGTCGCTTCATCGCCTCTGCGTCCTCAAGATCTGCCTTCTGGATCGCGTCGTGAATGTGCTTTAGGTCCGTCTCACACCGCTGCTTCAGGCGCCGCTTTGCATCCTTCATCTGGCTCGTCTCCTGGTTCGCCTGCTTCTGAACCTCATAGATCTTCTTGAACGGTTGGTTCTCCTCCTCACACTTGGTGATCAGCCGGAACTTGTCCTGAATCAGGTCAATCAGCCGTTCCTGCAGCTGCACCTTCGTCCACATCTGCTCCTCCGCGACCTGCATCTCACCGTCGTGCATGGCAACGTTCTGGATCTCGTTTGTCTTCTCAAGCTGCGCCAGCTGCGTCTTGATCTGGTCGTCCGTGGACGCAAGTGCGTTCTGGATCTGTGTGGCGTTCATGATGTCCTCAATCTGCTTCAGCGTCCGGGTTGGGACCTGCGCGAGTTGTGTGGCATCCAGCTGCGAGCGACGGAGCTCCTCCTCCACCTTCTCCATCTTCGCAATGGCGTTGTCGATCATCTGCGTGAAGCTCACAACGCGTGTTTTGTTGCGGTTCTGCTTCAGGTCCTGCAGCACCTTCTTCACACCAATGATGTCCATGAACTGCGCCTTGTCCTCCGGGCGGTACAGCTCGCGCTGGCTCATTTCAAGGCCGCACACACGCATGAGCTTCGCCAGGTCGTATGCCTCCGTCAGGTTCCACTTTGTGCCAACATCGACGGATGCGACAAGCTCCTCCGCCTTCAGGTGGGCACCGCGCAGCTTCTGACGCTGCGTCTCCGACCAGTCCGAGACGTGCAGCTCCTGGATCAGTTCCTCATTCTCAAGGCACGCCGTCTTCAGCTTCAGGTTGTGGATCTTCTGCTTGCGGGCAGCCTCCAGCCCAGTGGCTTCCTCGGCAGACATATTGCTGTTAGTTGTGTTTGTGGGTTTAAAAAGTTTGTAGTGGATCTCCAATTTCTGTTCCGCCCGGTGGGCAGGAAAAAAAAAAAAAAAAAAAAAGGGAGAAAAGCGGAAAAGCGGGAGCGACTTTCAGGCAAGAAAGCAATCAGGGGCACGCACACGCACACACACACAGGAAAGGAGAGAACGGGAAAGAAACAACCTGCATCTCGAAAATTCATCCATGCCGCAGTATACATAAGGACCACAAGAGCACTTTATCATTACATCGGGCTCAGTGACATAACACAGCAGTCGTTGTGCACACAGCTGCGTGAAGTTTACATCTCGGCGGGGTCGCACTCACTCGAGGCGGGCGGGGGCGGTGTTGTTCCCAATGCGTGGCTGCTCCCCGCTGCCACCCCCACCGGTGCGTAACAGCCGCGCCCTCTTGATCTCCTCGCGCTCCGCGGCAATCTTCACCTCCTCCTGCTTCGACAGGTGCGAGCGGTACTCCACCATCTTGCTGCGTCGCGTCAACACCTCTTCGTTGTTCTCGTCGACGGGGTGGTTGAACTCGATGCCGGCGGCGTCCAGCGCCTCCTCCGACTCCTTGAAATCCTCCAGTGCCTTTGCCTGCTTCTCCTTCAGCATCGCCAGCTCCTCCTCCACGCCCTGACGCAGCTTGTACAGCTCCTTCTTCATGTCGGCATGCCTTTTCGCGTTCGGGTCAAATGTCTCCACACAGAACTCAAGCTGGATGTGCGTTGTGCGGATATTGCGGTCAATTTCCTCCATTCGTTTTTCCTTTTTGTAAATGAGAGATCCCAGTGTGAGGTACAGCATGCGGAAGTACTCCAGGTGCTCCTTGTGCACTTCCAGTCGCAGCGCGGCCAGGTCTTGGCTTGTCTTGTCGTGACGGGCCTTCACTGCGGCACAGCCCTCCGACACCAATTCCTCCACCAATCAAGTGCACCGTATCGCCAGATCGCAATTGTACACC